TCAAATCTTGATTCCAGGGAGAAGGTTTGGGCCGGAAAGAGTGTTCATAATTTAACATAGGAATTTATATATCCCCCCAAACGAAGTGTGTTGGTTTGGGGTGGGGGTGTTTTGAGTCTTTGAATCACACTGTCCGTCTGCCTAGCTGTCCGGCTGTACGTGATAGTTTGCCCAGGATATAACTTTGTTATGAAGAAACTGGAAGGTAATACTTGGTACAAAGATTACTAATGATCCGAGGGTGTGTCATGGTTTTGATCCAACATCATTCCGGCAAGTTCAAGGTCACTTAAAAAAAATAGCAAAGTTTTGTCCGACTCATTTATCTCTAATAGGGAGTCACCGGAAGCTCACTGGATACAGGAATTGCTTATGACAAAAAGAGTTTGCCACGACCTTCATTCAAGGTCATTCCTGTAAGTTCAAGGTCACTGACAGAAAAGTGTAAGATTACTGTATGTGCTATAATTTTGGAAGCTCATACTAGGAACAAAGATTGCTTATGATCCACCGGTTTGAGATAACATAGTACTAGATTGGCAGAAGAAGTGGCAAAACTCGTGCCTGGATTATAAATTTATAAGGGGTGGGAGGAACACAGGAAACTTTTTCTCAGATTGCTTGAGATGGGTTTGTCCTGACCTTGAATAGAGGTTTTTCCCGCAAGTTCAAGGTTACTGGCAGATAAATATTAATTTTTTTTCCATGCTATAACTTTGTAATATAAAATCACTGGAAGCTATTACTTGATACAGAGATTGCTTATGATCCAAGGATGTGTTTTGACCTTGATCCAAGGTCTATCTGGTAAGTTCAAGGTCACTGACAGAAAAGTGCAATATTCTTTTTCAGGAATATCTTGGTCATTGAGTATCACTGGAAGCTCATAATTAGTTCAAAGGTTGTTTTTGACCTTAAAATAGGTCATTTAGGCAAGTTCAAGGTCACTGATATAATAAGTGTAAAATTCAAAAAGGTCTAGTCGCCCACGTGGCGCAGTTGTAAGAGTGTCTCCTCTAGAGTCATGGATTAAGGAGTTGATCCTTATGTCGCAGGTTCGAATCCCACTATGGGACGCAGAGACCGATCCTTCAGATGAGACCGTATAAACTGAAGTCCCGTCTGGCAGTAGGTGCTGGCACGAAAAAGATCCTTCACTGTTCAATGGCCATGAGTGCCGAGTATAGGTCAAAATTTGCAGATCTCCATCGGCAAATATGGTGGCGTCTCCACATGATTGAAAAATTCTCGAGAGGGACGTTAAACAACATACACACAAACAAACAAACAAACAAAAAGGTCTTTAATTTTGTAATAGAAAAAATTGCATGCATTTGCATTTCACTGAAAAGATGATAAATATATCATCCAAAGTGTTAAATTCGAGGTCACTTAGAATATGATGTTTTGGATGAATAGTCTGAAAGAATACGTGACTGTGAATTTTTTTTTGTCGATGACATACAGATGGTGTTTGCTCTTAACCAGCTGCAGAATGTGTCCTGGCTTGACGCACGATTATTTGCACAAGTTCAAGTTCACTGACAGGGGAATTTTACATTCTTTTACTGTCTTTCTTCTGTTAAACATTGGAAGTTGATGCCCCTTACAGGATTGTTTATAACCTTAAAATGTTGCATGACCTTGACTCAAGGTCGCTATGTTCTGTCCGGAGCTCCGACGGAAGACCTATTCGTTGCATTGCAACGAGCTCGGCTCTAGTTTCTTATTTCTTTTGTTTGTGTTCACGTGGCCGATTAATACAATGGGATTGTATAAAATGGTGTCAACACCTGAGGTTTCAATCGCCTTTGGGCATAATTAGCAGAAAGTCAATGCATGTTATTTGGGTATCAGTGTTACACATCACTGAACACGCTGGTCAACATTGACACCAATTTCAATCTATGTTATGCAAAAAATCTTAGTTTCAATAATTGTGTATAAATTTATTTCGGGATTAATTAATTTTGAACATAATCTGAGAGTTCCATTTGCGTGATTTACAGATGTACACTCGAACATTGATATAATAAAACACTTAAAATTGAGAATCTAAAGATAATTAAATTGGGAAGTCATTGAAAATAATCATGACTGAAATATAATACTCGGCAATGTTTAACAAAGAATTTTTCAAAAGCTCCAATACTTAAGAAAAATGCATTCAGAGTATAGTATGGGAATCGGCCTTGCTCTATAATTATTATTATCTATCTAAAGCTAATTCTGATATAAAATAAACAATTCAAGTTTAATTTTCTATATCAAAAAAAAATTGAAAACCAATATCAATCACAAAAAATGAAGAAATTGGTTTATTTTGGTTAAAAATTAATATACCAAATAGTTGTGTTTAAATATTCATGTTATTAATAGGTGTGAACGTCTTCTTCATTCAATAATTATAATTTGTTTCTATACGCGTACTGTGATTTTCTTAACAGTTCAGAAATGACTGTCGCGTAAGAATTATAAATATTTGTTGATACTACTCAGAAAGAATTGCTCATCAATTTCAACTGCCTTTTGTATAGTTACATTGTTTATTGGTAATCTCATTCTGAGTAAGCTCCGCCCATTAAATTAATTAACCCCGCCCACTGGGACTGCTGGGACTGCTTTCTGGGACCGCTGGGACTGCTGGGACCGCTGTGGGACTGCTCTGGGACCGCTCTGGGACTGCTTTAGCAGTCCCAGAAAGCAGTCCCCGGGACTGCTCTGGGACTGCTTTGTGTCAGGTTGGGTCTGGTTGGTACTGTAAAATTGTGCTCCTAATTAATTTAATTCCACTAACAAAAATTTACGGTAGTTAACTATAGTTACTATTAATTTATACAGTGGCGGATCCAGAAGTTCATGTGGGGGGGGGGGGGGGTTGAGGCCCGTTGGGCCGAAGGGGGAGGGCATGGGAGGGGGTGCCCCCCTCCCATAGGTGGGGGTTCGGGGGGCCTCCCCCGAGAAATTTTCTTAAAAAATGGCTCCAAATGGTGCATTTTCTTGCATTTTAGATTGAATTAATTCGTTTTTGGCCACTTTTTTTTCTAGGTGATTTTCAAGACTGACCTATCCTAATTTTCAAGAATTAGAACAAAAAAAAAAGTAATAAATTTTGGGATTATTTTTAACTTCCATGTAAACTTGAAAAATGAGACTTTTCTTAAAAAAAAAATTAAATGTAAAATCTGATAAAATTAGAAATATCGCCATTTGAAATATAATATCCAATTCTTCATTTTAAAATGCACATCCAATGTGTCACATGTGAAGCTCTGACTACCAAAATACAACTGATGTGCAATTTCCCAACACTTAGAAAATTTGGATTCTGTGTAGAAACCCTTATTACTCTTTTCAACTACTTGACTCTACTGTAAATATATTTTGAAATATAAGCAAATAATGATATATCATATTGAAGAATAAATATAAATTTATTATTTTGGGAAATTGTTGGAATTATTGCTTTTTCATGGGGGGGGGGGGTTGATTTATAATTTCTAACATAAATGCACCATACTTCTATTTTTATCTTATCCATGCACTTACCAGCCCAATGTTTTGAAAAAAAAGTCTTGAAAAACAATAAAAAAAAGTGGCCAATTCTTGTTTTGACAGGATCTCTATTATATACATATAAGTTTTACCACAATTCATTATACAAAGTTGTAACCGTTAGTTGGGTTTTATTAAACATCATTCAACTGTAATTTTAAAAAAATGCAGACCATTTGCTTTTTAAAATTGCATTGTAACTTCTATCTACAAGTGTGCTTTTTTCTGAATAATAATAATAATCACAGTTTATTCACATAGTTCAATAAAGTAAGATTCAATTTTCGAAGAATATTACTTTGGCAATACCAAAACAATACCTGTAATAACTATGTGCAGTTTTGGTTTGTTAGTGTATGACGTTGTGTCATCACTACCTGACTACATGTAGCTGCACGGACTATCATGATCTCTGTATTCATGGTACTGTTGTTATATACCTGTGTATTGTGTGCGCTCAAGCGGAAAGGGATTTCACATGGGTCTGTATATTTCACCTCTTTGTGTAAAACAATGGGCTTGGATAGAGTCTCATTTATGCAATATATTGTTAAAATGACACTTGTAAAAAAAAAAAATTTGATTGGGTGGGGGGGTTTTCCCGAACCCCCCAAACCCCCCTGAATCCGCCACTGTTATATACAGGTAGTTGTACAGAAAATTTTTGATTAACCGAACTATATTTATGTTGCATCTTTCGGTTACTAATAACGAATAAATCTTTACTTCAATAACTAAGAAAGCCCATTTAGGACTTATAAAAATATTTTCGAATTCGATATAACGAATTGACGAATTTGTTATAACGATTTTAATTCGTTATAACAATTTCTTTGAATTCGTTATAATGAATTTAATCTGTTATATCAAATTTCTTTAATTCATTATAATGAATTCAAAAATTTGTTATAACGAATTAAATTCGTTACAACGAATTCTAACACTTGTTATAAGGAATTAAATTCGTTAAAACGAATCCGATAAATCGTTATATTGAATTGATATGTATTTTCTGTAGGCCCCGATTGTTGAATTTGATTAAACGAATTTAATAATTTCTTTGAAAAAGTTATTTTAATGAATTTAATCTTTTATAACAAATTTCTTGAATTCGTTATAATGAATTCAAAAATTTGCTATAACGAATGAAATTTGTTATAACGAATTCTAAAACTTGATATAGCGAATCAAATTCGTTAAAACTCTTTAATTTGTTATCACGAATTAAATTCGTTTTAACAAATTCGTCAATTCGTTATATCGAATTCAAAAATATTTTTGATATGCCCTTAATGGGCTTTCGTTTCTGTTCATTTATTATGTATTATTATTTCCTTTTCCATCATATTTATCATACGTTTCTAGGAAAATAATATGTGTTTTAAAAAAATCAAAACCCGTGAAAATGACAAATATTTTTATTAATTGAAATTTTATATCTACAGATGTCCTAGTGGATAATGTTTGTAAAAGGAACCCATCCTTTGTTTTTGCCAATCCAGCAGAATGCCAGCTTTATTACAACTGCTCATCAAAAAATGGTTCATTTCTTTCCACATGGCCTGATCACATGGCAGAATGTCAATATCCTGATATGTTCTCAACAAAAACGCTTCAATGTGAAAAGTTTACAGAAGTAGAATGTGGGGATCGAAAAGAACTCAAAAATCCTTGTAAGTCTCTCTCTCTCTCTCAAATGGTTAATTCTTAAAGAACATTAAATAAAATTAAAATATTGAAACAAACAGTATTTATATATTTTTGACGCTAATTAATAAACCGAAACAATTTCGTTTCTTATATGATCCTTTATATTAAAGAAAATACTTAAATAATGTAATGATTTTTATTAAATAGAGAGATAGATGTGCTATATTTATGATAAATTACTTCAATAACATGTACGGTAACGGGTTATGTAAATTAAATTTTGTTGTTCAATCATTTTTTATCCAAAAGGTGGCACATAACAAACTACTTTAGAGAGTTTTTCTTCGAATGAGATTGAGATAAAGTTTTAAACCAGGAGATTTTTAACGAACTGAAATGAATAATAAAATGATTTAGTTCATTGAATACTTATTTCGTTCATACAAATTGTCGGTTATATTTTCAATAGATCATTTTCTCATACAAAGAAACCAATCGTTTTTAAGTGTCTAACGTTAGTAAATAAATAATGTATATCTTTTATTTATTATCAATCAGATTTAAAGAGAAAGAATATTTTTTCTATCATTTGCCTAAAATCTGGCACTTTGACTATGTGCCAATATTTTTTAAATATATATTTGTTCATGAGGCATTTTTTTCACGACTAATTCATGCTTCACGGTTAATGAGCTTTGCTATCTTGGAAAATTCATGGTTCAATGTGATATTTGTCTGTCCCTATGAAAGTTGTTCCTTCCATTCAAAGAAGCTATTCTGGATATATTTTCATGATTTTTATTGCACAATATACATTAACGAATGCATGAGATATAATAATATATTTTCCAGATATTTCTAGAAATTTGTGACATTGTGCATGATTTTCTTGTAGTGGGGAACTTAAGTAACACCTTAAAATGTTCATTACAAGCCAAACATGTGAATATAGAGTACCAAATCTACAATATTTATATTCATTATTAATTTTAAAAAGAACAGATCCAACCAATATTTTACAGATTCTATACTAATACAGCTATAACAGAACGCAATTATTTGATTATTTTTTAACACACAGGTGAATATAAATTATATGCCGATACAATTTTCACATGTAAATGGCAAAACCCTAGTTGTAAGGGGAGAACAGACGGGTTACACAAGGGATATCAAGGTCCAAACTCTTACATCAACTGTTTCCAAGAACGTTTGATTAATACAGGAGTTTGTGAGGATGAAGATATTTGGAATATATATAAGATCCCCTACAATGGCACGTGTACAAACCCTTTTGAAGTTCCTCACAAAGATGGCGGATTTTTGTCTAGTTGTCAAGGAAAAACAGACGGGAATTATCGTTTTGAGTATGATAGCTTCTACATGGGGCAGGGGGATTACTTCGGAGTAGGTAGACAATGTGATGCATTCTATCGTTGCGAAGGGGGCGTGGCTACAGCTGTCAAATGTCCGAATGGAAGTGTGTTTGAATCTCAAAGTAGAGCTTGCAAGGCTGGAAATCACTCCATAGAATTAGGATGCCAGCTATACTGTAACCCAAACTTTAAAATGTGGAACGGGTTTCCAAATAACTTGGCAGAATGTCCTTATCCCGAACAGTTCTCTGACGTCACTCATAGATGTGAAAACTTTACAAAGGTCACATGTGGCTCCCGCCCTGAGGTCAAGGACTTTTGTAAGTATTTTTAATACACTATAATTATATTTTAACTGTCATCGTATTGGCATGTACAAAATTAATGTTTTTGTTTTTCTACCTCTTTAATGTCTATTTAATCTTTCAGTGTCAAATTGGCAGAATGCAAGAGTTGCGATGTATATCAATCTTTATCTATTAGAAAAAGAACCAAATACATGTAATAATTTATTTAAGTTTTAAACCAGGATGTGATATGTTTGGTCAAAATTTTATTCCGAAAACAACAGAAAAAAAGATTTTCAAAAAGGCTAGGGAACTGTATTAAAGCGTGAAATTAATCAATGTTAAAATATGAACTAAAGAAATGAAAGAAAGCTTTTATGTTTTCCTATCTCAAAGGAAATCATGTTTGTCAGTAAATTATATAAGGTTAATATTAGGTTACTGTAATAGTTTTTCTCCATTTCAACTTTCAATTCAAAGTTTACAAAATAAATAGCAAAAGGTTTTCCATATTCTTTATATACCGTATTAAGCATCTGGTATCAATTATCAATTATTGGCGACATAAAAGCTTATTAACTATCTCATAACCTTTCATAAAAATTCTAAATATAATCATTGAAACAAGAATCCAAATTAATTAAATAAACCAATTGCAGTGAATTAAATCAAATCATTAATTGTATATTTTTTTCACTAAGTATTAATTAACGCAATGAAAAGCAACAAGTACCTGTCAAATATGGAAGGTGTCTGTAGATGCTGCAAGAATTTCTAAGTAAAAAAGGTTAATATAAAGATTTTTGTAGTTCAATTTTAATTGTGCAATTTACACAGCATTTATATAAATCTAAATTATTTTTCAATTTAATTTTGAAAAGGCAAGTATTGGGTGCAGCTGTTCATGAACCGACACACAGGACGTTGCGAATCGTTTCACTTCAGCTGTGCAGGTTTACCTGACGGGCTTAACGAACATCCAGTCAAACGACCCGGCCCTTATTATGTTATTTGTCTCAAAGAAAGGCTAATACAAGAGGGAACGTGTCCCTCGGACAGTGAATGGCAGACAGAAACATTTCCATACAATGGTAAATGCACTCAGCGATACGCAATTCCCGTATCCCACTATGATATCGGTCTCCTCCCGGATTGCTCCGGTAAATCTGACGGGAACTACCAGTATCTGAAAAAATGTGATGCTTTCTACAGATGTGAACAGGGTAATGCAACTGCCGTAAAATGTCCTTCAAACACTATCTTCGACACTAGCAGTAAAGCTTGTAGAAATGATGGTGTCTGCTCTAGATGATATATCTAGTTCTGTATTTCAATTTAATTCTGTATTTTGATAAACAGACAACATTGCGCTTATTGCTATTTTTTCATTGTAATATCGTTAAAAAGATTCATTGAAGTATGCACCATCAAACAGGTCTGTTCTTCTTGAAAGGATTTACAGGTCAAATTCATAGGAAATAGAAACACTTGTAAATGATATATGTTGTAAATAATAGTTAAAAAGAGGGAATCACAATATTAGTAAAATTTTAAACCTCGTTGTTTTCTTTATTTACCTGTTTAAAAATCGCTAAAAATAACGTTTATCAATAGAGTTACTTCCCCTTTTTGTGACGTCATAAGAGACAATCAACATCAGAAACTGATAGTAGTAATAATATAAATAAAGTGTAAGTAGTGTATAAAATATGTTATTATACTTCTGTTAAAATGTTTCCTATATAAAGTTAAGAAGGTAAAATAACTATTTTTATAGTCTCAAAATTTCCACACATAGCAAAGCTATACCCCGGGGTATAGTTTTTGCTATCCACCCCTCGGAAAATTTTCATGCAATTTTTCCGCCAATTTTGATTTCCTGTAATCAATCTATAGACTTATGATGTCATCCTGACTTCAGTAGCATTGTGACGTCATCAGGATTTCAGCTCATTCTAGCAGTGTTATCTTATTCCAAATACTTGTTCAAAACTTTCATAAATTATTTTTTTTCTTCATGATTAAACTATCGAACTGTAGTATCAGGTAAATACAACACTCAGAAATTATGATATACATCAGTATAATAAAACGCTTATCCACTGGCTGTGAGTGGGATAGCTCTTTCATCAAACCCTTGACAGGAACTATTCCCCTCGGGCAAGCCCTCGGGGAATAGTTCCTGTCGCGGGTTTGATAAAAGAGCTATCCCACTCACAGCCAGTGGATAAGTGTATAATATAGTGTTCTTGATTATCTTAAAAAATGGCAAATTTTAGAGAATGGAGATGTTGATATACCAGATTTAGATCTTTCATTTAAGAATAGGCTCTACATGTTTGAGCCAATCATGGAAAGTACATGAAGATGATTATTCTACTTCGACCGATTCTGTTTCGTCCGAAGGCTCCAGGCGCGTAGCTGCCTAGATATGCAAATACGCAAGTGCGTACACATCAACCCCCCCCCCCCCCAAAAAAAAAAAAAAAAAAACAAATAAGTAAGGAGAGAGGGAGAGAGATCCGAAAAAAAAAATTATTCCCATCCAACAAATGTTCGTGTTTCGAATTATTTTGTGTCATACTGTTTTGCTTTGAATTTTAAATTATCATGACTCTATAATAAAATTTGAAACCCTTCATTAAACCATTGCCAAGTCATTCATTGATTTGTATTTGTTCTTTAATACATTGATTTTTTTTAAAGATCTTCGAGAAATTAAAAATCAAGCGCATCGTTGAATAATATGATCTATTAGTATATGATTTAAAAGTTAACATTTAGTATATATACGTGCTTTTGATACTACATGTCCAATAAGTTTCCATGAAAGTATTAACTTTGCGTTAAGATAATAAATATTACTACGTCTTTTATTTTGTAAACAAAAACTACATGCATAATTTTTACTTTGCCAGAAAATGAATGAAATAACTGTTAAAAGTCAGAACCTTCTGTGCCTTCACCGGGGGGAGGGGGGGGGCACCCCACCTCCCCCACTCATTTCCAAACCTTACCTTTTACTATTGAAAATGTTATTTGAAAGGGTGTCTTGCTTTTAACCCTTACTTTTTTTCTAGAAATAATTTATTACATTTAAATTTTCATGAAAGGATGGTAGCAAACCCCTCCCCGTTTTGTTACAGTAAAGTCAATTTCCCACACCTCAGGATATCCAATTTTTTATTCAGAAAAAGACTACCCCCTCCCCCACCCCTTTTAAGGTTGTTTTCTTTTTTTTAGTTTGGATTTTTTTTCTTTGAAAGAATAATATTCATGTACACATCGAAAAAAAACAACAACATGCAAATGATATTTCCTCAAGCATTTCCTACTCTACATACATCCCGCAGATTTGTCGGATGGGTATATCAGCGCCTCAGGAAGGACAGATTAATTCTTGTGCGCAGGCTCATGACGAATTGTTAGTGTATATACCCCCATCTGATTTTTTTTAGACATGATAACTTTGGAAATATACATAAATTCCTTGTCTATTATACCAATACTTCGATATTTGATATCATTTTCCGTTTTTGTAAAGTTGTAGAGATTGTTCCTTAACGGTATATCAGTCATTCTACGATAAAAGGACCAATTCAGGATATAAAACATGAAAAAAATTATTGTTTCAAATAGCGAATTGAACGTCGTAATTCTCTAAAGGACATATCAGTGAAACTGAAAAAAAAAGAATTGTGCTGAAATCTGGTCTAGTTAACTTTTTACATCAATTTCATTTTACCATTGATTTTTAGGTAATGTTACGGAAGTTAATGCTTGAACAAGTCTTATTATTTTTCTTTTTAAATAAATCTAAAGAGCTAGGTTCACTTTATGCATAAAATGGCCCGGTAGATATACCAATTTATTGACTAACACCTTATGTTCCATTTTAAACATCAAGATAAAGTAGAGACTTAGTGCTTTCATTTCCTATTAAATTTTTTCTCCTTAAAGTCCAGGTCTTGGAAAACAAGCTTTATGGAATTGCAATGTTCTTGAATTTTAAGGAAAAGAGGTATATTTAAGTACTTTCAGAGAAGAAAAATAATATGAGCGCACCCTCTGATCAAATAAAATAAAACATGTTTTGTAATCCTCAGAAACGGTTCTATCAGTAAATAATTGCATATTTTAGATCAGAGATTGCGCTCTATATTAAATATCGAAAAATAGCTTTAAAAATTGGCTGTTTCTGTAGAATTGTTCAGGATATGGGGAAAATGGCGCATTTCATGACGTCATAATGCATTGACTAGCCAGAAAATTACGTCATTTTTGGTAGATTCGCAATCACCTAATGTCTAAATGAAATTTAATGCATTGTCAACTAAAACTAAGCAGTTTCAGTTTTTCAGAAATTCACAGGGCAAAAAAGGTCCTAAGTGAACCTTGTTCTTCGATCAATTTTGTTCAGTATAGAACGCTGAAGTATGATTCTTGTAGTCTGGCATGAATCTGATATCAAGTTAAAATTTCGATAAAAATCGTTACGGAGGTTAATTACCAGCGATAAAAGTTGAAATTCTAGGCAATTATAGTTTAAATTAAAGTTTGTGTTATGAGATAAAATAATAATAATAATAATAATAATAATATTATAATAATATGAGATAAAATGAAGCATATCGCTCCCAAAATAATAAAAATGTTTTATCTTTAATGCAAAAACATTCCCGAATTAATTACAGACAAGGAATTCATGTATAATTGCTAAGTTAAATTCTCAGTAGGAAGGGGGGGGGGGGTTGGCAATGTACACAAACCATACGTCAAGTGCCTGTGATCTTGTCTACTTCTCAACTGTAACGAAAATCCTAAAAACCAAAACAAATATACAATATAAATTTGAAATAAAACCAAGAAATTCGTGAGTCGTTTTATGTTTAATAAAACTGTAAGTGTAAACTGGTCATGTAAAATGTCGCTTAGATAGTGTCGCATGTTGATTGGGTTCAACACCATCTCTTTTTAAATTTAATGTCCATATTTTCCTCAATTTCAGGTCCTTAGAAAATAAATATATACTCATGTCTTGTCCCAATTCATTGTTACAGTTAAAAGCGTACACGGCAACATCTCGCCAACAATAATGTTCCAAACCCGGCAATATAAAGTTTGTACTTTCTATTTCTCGTTGTCTCTTATGACGTCACACGTCAAGGAGGAGTAGCGGTTTACAAAAAGCGATCCACCTGTCACACAGGTAAATTTAAACGACGATTAGTGATGTAATTGGTGACAAAAAATTAAACAGACTGTATAATGTTATTCATATTGTTCCAAAGGCTGATAATCATCAATAATTATGAATTTTCAAAACATATTATACTTGACCTTTAAATAGATGTTTACAATTTTTTTTTAAATATTTAGCCCTTACCTAGCTCAGAGGAAAGTAATGTGCAAAGATTGGAACAAATTGTAATTCAAAGGAAGGCAGTGCATTACATTAATAATTTTCTCAAATTTAGTAGTGTTGAATGTGGGAATGTTATTGGTTATTAAGGACAGATGATAGAAACTTTTATCAAAAGTCATGAAAATAACAAGAAGATACATGTTTATATGGATAAGATAAATAAGTTTAACGGCAGAATTTTATCTTTAAGATTTTAATTTTTCATTACTTTCACAATAATGTGATTTAATGTTACAGAAAGTTGAATAGATAAATAAGGATGATTGCAGAAAGGAAGAATTTTGAACATCATAGGAAGTTTACAATTTCTTAATACTTTAAGAATTTAATATTCGCATCATTTACAACCAAAATAGACATCCCTTTTTTGTATCATCTGTCCTTAATGCATTAACAATATTGGGAACAAATTTTACTGATATTACCAAATGGTATATGTTATCGTTTGTATGGGTCCAAACCTTTTAATGCATACACAACTGAAGCTGTCGTCATCCTTAGTCCAAAAGATCCACAAAACAAAATTAATATTACTTGTAGCCACTTCAAGTCCTTTTTAAAACTTTCAGTAGTTGAATATTTCGAAAGTACTATTTTTTAAGTAATGCTGAATTCTTTTTATCTACAGATACAGTCGGCTTAATAGGAACTGTTTGAAAAAATGTCTTCATTTTGTTTTCATCAACGTTGTAAAGTAGAGGAATCTTGCACAGAAAAAGCATTTATACAGTTTTTCTCCAAGTTATTGAAGCAACCGTTTCATCTTAAATTTCGAAAAAAATATCATAACATTAAACAAGAGGCCCAGGGGCCACATCGCTCACCTGAGCACTATGGCTTGGAAAAAGCAGAAATCATTTCAATCTTGAAAGGTTGAAAAGTTTAAA